TTTTTAAAAGCGCAGGGAGAATTAAGGGAAAACGGGAATTTTTTAAGCAAAATCGATTTTGGTTTTTGTTGTAACTCTAAAACAAATCAACGTATATACGTGAAAATTTCACTGAGTGTTTATATTTTCATTTTCTATACACCATACAATTTTGATATTAATTTGACTCTTTTTGAGATGTTTAGGGACATTGTCAGTTTTCAATTGTTTTAGTTTTTTATTCTATAATTGTCAATAAAATTTTATTTGCTGAGTAAAAAAGCGTGAACATTTATTATAAGGATCCTGATATATTGTTAAAATAGAAGTTAAAAAATATTAAAAATACATATGTAGGCACAATTTTTTTTTATAAGCATTTTAAGTTCAAATTTTGACAAAATGTATTAAATTTAAAATTTAACTACTATTTTATAGTTAAAAATGTATAAAATGTTCTAAACTTTTATAGCTAAGGATTGAAAATGTAAAACAAGGTTTCACGTAAATATCCATATAGGTTATATATAAATTACTTTATTCACAATAATATCATCAAATATACTTAGTAATATCATAGGCTGACTAACCGTCTTTGCTCAGAATCGTTTTTCTTAAACAATGATATTATATCAATGAATTCAAATTTAACACCATCCATTACAGTGACCCACTTTTAACCTACTCAGTACAGCAGAGCGACACCCACTTTCTCACCTTTTTTAAAATTAAATACTTAGGTAGTATGTTACTATAAATTACAAATTATACGTAGGTAATATTATGTTAATATAATACGATTTACTACAACATTAATTCCATTGAAAAAACGCAACATTTAACCTAGCTACTCTTGTCAAAGGGTACTAAGTTGTACTTGACAAATTTAATGATTTTACATTGATAAAAAAATTCTCTATATAACCTTGAGAATATATTTTAATTTATAGCTTTAAGATGTTCTCATAAATATTTAAGTTTTTGCACCACAAAATCTACAAACACATTTATAATATAAGTACATGAGTATTGTGTATCAAACGATGCAATTTTCAACGAATTATTTCTAAGTAACAACTATATTATTGTTTACATTATACACTATTGGTTTGAGTGACGTAATTTGATGTTTATTTTCTGTGGGACGAAAATAACTTAAGAATTACGATCAATAGTCTATTTACTAATACATTAACTTTGCTCTTAAAATGACGACAAATATTTTTACAAACAAGTAAAATTATTAAAAAAAATATTTATGAATTATTGGAGTACTAAATACAAATACACTGCACGCTCTTCAAATCCACAAATTTTACTACTAACGAGGTACATTTCCTAAATTTTCCACTGCTAAGTATTTACTGTAACAAAAATTCTAAATTGTGGACCAAATCATAAAAACCATAAATACTCAAGACATTCATCACGCTTCATATTAAATTGATAATATATCTAATATAAATAGCCATGGCATAACATTTTCAACATTCCATGTGAATAATACTCAATAATGTATTGTTTAGTATTTTGTTAGCTACATTCCGAATATTTTAAATTACGTTTATAATATGTATAACTTATGAAAATATAAAAAATGAGTTAAGTAGAAGTTAAAAAATAAAAATATATTATACGAATGTAAATCTTCAAAATTAATAACAGACCTCACAACCTATTACTAATTAAAATCGAGTAAGATGGAACTCAAAAGTCAAATACGTATTGTAACTAGGATAGAACTCCTTAAATTGTGATCTATGATATTAAATTATTATCAAACTCTACCAAGTTGTTAAAAAATAATAATAATACGTTGACATTTTGACCTATTTAAAAAATGTCGGAAATTGTATGCTCTACACCTCCATCCCTGTACAGTCTTCGGTAAGGTTCAAAATCATATTTATAAATACCTACTTGTACTACATTCTAAGTGGTACCAAAAAAATTATTCTTATATTTTATTTTATTTAAAATATAATTTGTGGCATCATAAATGATTATTTAGATCTTAATTTATTAACATTTTAAATAAAATGTTTTCATTGTTGTGACAGTTTGCTGGCTCGATTGCATAATATCATTACTTTATTGTGCTAATGTAAAGTTAAGTATTGCTTATTAGTAGCGCACATTTTAAAAGAACTTAAGCTATAGTAAACGGAGTTTGAAGAATTTCGGTACAGTTGATTTACTGAGAAAGAATAACCTACCTAGTCAAAAGGTTTAGTTTTTTTCATCGTGTTAGATTGGTACAGCTATAAGTGGTGGTGAGTGCGGAGAAGATGATTGGAAATCGTAAGCGATATAAAACTAGCTGGCCAGTTCCAAAACATAAAATAACTATAAAAATGTCTTCTCTAGCCCTTTTAACCATCACTATAACTATAAATATTGATTATAATTGAAAAAATATTGTGTTGTACTATGATAACCACATATTGTATTAATTAAATGTTACGAACTGTGGAATCTATAATCTTATATAATAATAAACAATGTATTTCAGAAATAAGAGTTAATACAGTGTTTCTATTATATAAGTTATTTTATAATATTTTAATGTTTGCATTTTGCAATGATTATTAACTAAATAATTATTGTATAAGCTATACTGGTCGACGTTTTGTATTACACACTGTAGGTACCTATAGACTAAAGGCTGTAGTAGAAAATTCCCACATGTTTGACAAATATAAAATAAAATAATATTTGATTTGAATTGAATTTCAAAATTGTGTTTTAAGAATAATTCTATAAATTCTATTTCCTAAAGTACCACTACAATAGTAAAATGTATTCTTTCATTTCTTTCTTTAACCAAGTCTTTCACGCCTGCAGTAAATACATTGATTCAATATCCATTTAATATGTATGTCTAGATAACCATATAAGCATATAATAATAATAAAATATACATACAAATATATAATAATATTATGGTGTATTACTTTAAGTAGAAGTATTAAACAATTTATTTTAATAAATGTATTAGTCGTATGAAATATGTATATACATTTGAAACATCCAAGCACTTATGTATTAGGAAAAATAACTCTTATTTTACTTTAAAATATTTTTAATGATTGAATAGGTAATAAAAAGGTCGAGTCATCTCTAATAATTGTTGATGATAAAATTACACTGAGTTAACACAGCCCAATTATATAAAAAAAAGCTGTAGGAAAACGTACTAAAAAATTACAAAAATAGCAAAGTATACATTTTTAATCCTACGTATTTAAGAAACATGGATAATTATTTAATAGAAATAAGTTAATCGTTACATATAACTGTTAATTAAATTACCTTCATAAACTATAAAGTATATCTACCTAAATTTGCATATAAATTATATCTTACCTAATAAAACGAAACAAATTATAAATTTTTTTTTAATAACTATTTAATGATATTTTCTCTTTAGCATAACATAGTTTTAGATATTTGAACTATAATTCGAAACATTTCGAGTGCGAGCTCAACAACTTGGTGATTCGATGCATCAAGTTTAGAAAGTTAGATGAAAATGAAGTCACAACAATTATTAAATTTAATTAAATTTTCAAAAGTCAAAATTATCTGAACAGATTAATATAATCATTTAAGTCGACGTGACGACGTCCCTTATAATTTTCTAAAACTGAAATTGCCACTTGTCAATATTAATTTGTCATTTATAATTAATTTCCTTCAATATAATAATATAGCGTGTACCTAAAATCGATTTGTGAGAGGCTAGCAATTTCATTAAAATGTATATGTAATTAAAGCCCTTTTTGACAGAATCCATTGGAAATATTTAACATACGCGTTAACTACTCGTACATTTGATCGGCTCGACCACTTGTTAACTATTATGATATACGAATACAAAGCAAATGTGATTAGTAAAAGCATCACAGTGTGGTCCTATAATAGAGGTACAGAACGATTCGTAATGAATCATAATATTTTATTATTATTTATAGGGACTTTACACTCACTTTTGCGATTACCATTTGGTTTAAAAATATAGTGCCAAAAACCGAAAATCACATGGAACACGTGTCCAACAATAACGTCAGACTGCGGGTTATGGCTGTAAGTACACTCCGGAATCCCTTATCCTATATAATATTATGATGATAAATACGACCCAGCATTGGTATAAGTAGATTCGGTCGCCGATCGATGGTTTCAGAATTGGCTCACTGGGAAGAATGCAATTATTCCATGATTTCGACCGAACACATCAAATTCGTTGAAGTCGAAAAACGGTTGCTCGCAAACCGATGTCCAACGACGCTCACATAATATTATACTATTTATAGACGTGACACTGCTCCGCGCGCACCATCGTAATTAGTCATTCCACCACAGCCAACTCTACTCACACACACACACATCACTTGGATCACCAGAAAGACAACAAACTCGTGTGAGTGTGTTATATATACACACACACACACACACACACACACACACACACATATATAGTACGTGTGACTAAGTCGGGAACCACCTCTGCAATTTAAAAACGACGAGAGATGGAGAGTGGTAGTAAGAGAGAGGGGGGGAGAGGGAGAGATAGAAACAGGGATGTGATCGCAGAGAGACAGAGAGAGATCGAGTGAAAATAAATATTAAGAGGAATGGAAGAAATAAAATAAAATAACAACCGCGAGTTTGGCCCGATGTAAACGAACCCTTCGGTTTATTCAGTACGGCCGCGACCGTTGACCGGTCGACAGATCATAATATCACTATCATTATTATGACCGAGTCGCTGAGCGGTATAAACCCGGTATCGTCGACACGGCCGTCGCAGGCCCCGTCCGTGATTTGTGTGACTAAAAATTTTCCCATTACTGCGCGTTGACATTATTATTATTATTTCGCGGTACTGTTCATAACGATTTACACCTGACGTCCACCGCCGCCGCGTGGTTATCACTACTTCCGGTCCGAGGCGCCACCGACACCTCTTACGTTACAGGCATTGCAGCATCGCAGGTCACGGTTTCCGGAGAGTTATAATGGACGGTAAATAAGCGGCGTCGTCGCCGAGTGCCGGCGGACGTCTAATTTTTTTTTTCAATCGCAAGATTTTGTTATTGGTCTGTTCTGACAAAATAGAAAAACCGTCATAAATATTACACTACACAAATATTGTACATCGTCCATATATTTTGTCGTCAATCTGTAAGTCAAAATGTATGCATGTAGTTTCCCGCCAACATCCGAACCGGAAATATTACAAATATAGTTGTTATGTAACATAATTACAATTTTATGTAATAATCAATTGTTTCTTGTATGCATAATACTATAATAGTTATATTGCACACCCTTAAAACCAAAATGGTGGTATTAAAAATCAAAGTAGGTACATATTACCTTGATACCCATTCTGTTTAATTCATAAAGGTTAGGTGATTTATTATTTTATTCCTCTAAAAACACATATACCTACTACGTATACCAAATATTTAATATAAAGTGTATAACTTAATTATTTCGATATTAGTATAGTATACTAATATAGGTAGTATGATAATGTAATTTCTTAAAAGTTTATTCTGTGTTTATCCTTGAAATTAATGAGCCGAGTAAAATAAAATGGAAAAACAGTTTTGTAACTAATAGGTTTTAAAGTTTCTTACAGAAATAACAAATAAGTTATTTTTTTTTAAAGACACTATTTTTCATATGTCTCTTAACATATAAATAATTATATTTTAATAGGATAATAATTTAATCGTTCTCTAAATAAATATACTTACATAATCGTCAACGTTTAATATTTTACAACGATAATAGTTTACCAAGCTAAAAAAATTTAATATTTACTTTCGTAATAGTAATGCTACATTTTAATAGAATATTGCAGTATGCATAGGATAAACTGTATACAAATACCTAACAAAATGTACATTTACACCAATCGTTTCCCATGGTTAAAATTGTAAAATGTACTCATTATATTATAGCTAAATGTATACGCGTAACATTAACTGAGTTTTTCTGATAATATATTGCCGGAATTAATCAAAATATTAAAAATAAATCTAATAAAATATAAAACGTTTTCCCTTTAACTAAGGACGCTGAGATGCTTAATGTATAATACAAAAAAGTCGTAATTATTCATACGTGACAGCTTCCAAAGACATTCATATTTCAAATTATTGGATGTAGACCAGAACTTTTTAATAAAGCATTACATAATTTTAAGATAGGTATGCAGTAATAACATGTAGGTAGGTAGATAAAAAAATAAATAGATTTTTTCGGTTTAAAAAAATACGAATATAAGGCGGGTCCTCACCTATGGTATTATACGTTTATCACAAAAAATATAACGAAATCAAGTTGTCGTCAAATTCGATCAAAGTGACCAATGTGTTTGTAAACGGAATTTTGAATTGGGTTGTTGACAGAAGAAAATAGATAAATCGATAACGGGGCTCCGATTTTCCGTTAAAGAAGATATACAATATAAAGAGATTAGACTGTCGTAGAGTTCGATAAGTAACTCATAAAAACTTCACCGGCACGAAACATTTTACCTGCACAATATAAGGATATAATAATATGTCAACTCCACCGTTGTAAATTGTTTTGAAACAATCTTTTATGATCGAACTATACACATTACACAGGCCTATAAGCTGACGGTATTTGAAACGGTTTAACGTGCCCGTTCTATATATAGATATTTTTTTTTATATTTATTATAAACTTTATGATATGACGTATTTGAATACAATTACTTTTCAATCTTTCGTAGGAAGTTTAGTTTTTATACAATATCGATGCCTATGTGTTTTTTTAGTAAGCGGTTTGGCGGGTTTTTCCGATATCTCAGGTATTTTCCAGTATACAGAGGTATTAAGACGTACCATATATTCGGAAAAAAAGCTTGGTTTACCTACTTTGCACTCTCTATATGCCTATATTATATACAATATACCGACAGCCACTCATCCCATTATAATTTATACAGCCATCACGCCGTGGCTTTGCACAATATTATCTAAAATATCTTTTGACACACTAAAGCAATTAATACATAGACAAGTAATAAGCATACAATTCGCAGAACTGACATGCTGGAGTTATAATTAATTTTGACAGTTGGTTTAAACTTTGAGCGGGTTAGTCAATAAATGGAGATAAAATGTATTCTATGTATATTGTATAGTGGTTGGAAATTATACAAATAAAAAAAAAAGAAAGTGATCTGTAGTTTTGAAAAGCTATTAGGCCTCTAAATATAATATAAAATTATAAATTACATTTCAATGCATTGTGATTGCATTGTAATTAATTTGTCAAAATACATCTCGACATTAAAAAATATAAATTATTATTAAATTGTACCATAATATATTAAAAATTAAATATCAATAAGACAATAAACTAGCATTTTTTCAGAAATTATAGTTATAGGTACCGAGTATATATTATTATATTATGCGACTTAAAATAATTGAAAATTTAATCGATAAATAAAAACATATAAAATATTGGTTTTATCTTAATGTTGACTTATTAATTAACGTACTGTTGGAATTTACAATAGTTTAAACTGTTTACTAGGATCTGAACCTGAGGTAGTAATTCACTAATACCAATCGAATATTCAAACACATGACGTATAAATATATAATAATGAATAACACTTGTAAAATTTAAATATTATGTCCACTGTCCATCACGTAGAAGGAACATATAGGTTTTTAATACTTAAAAGTTAAAATTACTATACTGTTTAGGAATATAACATACAATTTCTACTTTCTGTACACATTTAGAGGATACAAAGTAAATTCTACTCGTTAGTACTATGTAAAAAAGTCATTTTTCTAGTTGAATATAAAACAATGCATTGTTTGCAATAATTATTAGGTAATTCTTTGTTTGATATCGACTGATTAGATTAATGTTTATAAAAGTAATTTGCGTCAATGTATCATAATTCATTAATCATTATACTCATCAGTCATCGCAAACAAGCATAATATTACAGACAGTCACGAGATTTTATTCATTGACCTCTGTAAATGATATTAGTGTTTTCGTATTTCAGGTTTGAATATTATGTATAATATATATTATCGGTTCTGTCCGAAGCATAGTTAGCCAAAAAACTATAGATATTTCCCTAAAAGCAAACCGTGTGCTCGCTAAATTGTTTTCAGTGTTTTTCACAATTTTCCAAAGCCCAACAAATATGCCAATAATGTACTCCAATTCAGTCTTTGTTCAATTTCCAATATAAATACATATTATGCAATATGTATGGGGTGAAACTTTTTGAGATTTTTACTACGTGAAATACTACCACGAATAAAAACTTAAAAGTTTGAGTCATTATAAAATCAATAGCTCCCTCGCTTGCTCGAAACCTAAATTACGTTGGAAATTAATCATCATACCAAAGGAGAGTTAAATTTATATCTCATCCGGATTAAACACATGGCCATTAATTCCGGTAAACGTAATATTAAACATTATTCTTCCAAATGAACGTGGATTATGAAGATGTTATTACAATGCTACGTTTCGTCACAATGCCGTACAATATAGTAATTTTGAAATACCTGCACGAGTAAACACTAATTATGAAATCAGCAATGTCAAAAAACAGATGTTAACGCTTTCATATCCAATGCATATAAAATTAGGCTTTCAAAACTTTTTATTTTATATGACAAATTAATTAATTATTTTTATTATACGCATGATTGGTGTTTAGGTGTAAGTGTGTAACATATGCACAACACGTGTCATAATTATACAGTACTTACCACAAACCACATATCTATAAAATTACAAAATCAAATATATATTATATAAAACTAAGTAAAAAACTTAATTGAAGCTTACCTCTCCATCTTAAGTAAAAAACAACCTGTATGCTTAAAAGTTCCAAAGTATGGGGAGGCACAATAACTTGTAAGGATTCATGCAACATATTTTTACTATTAATGACTACATTATAGATTGAAGACTTTAAAAAAACCTTAAATATTTAGTTATTCCATTAGTTTTCCAATTTTAAATTTAGTATCATTTAATTATTTAAGCTAATACAGTAATACCTAATTATATTGACAGAATAACATAATCAAATTTTAAGTTGAAAAAAAAGTTGAAGGTTGAAAAGAAAAAAAACCATTAAAATAAAGAACATTAATTAATATTGAATAAAATCTATTTGTAACCTGTAAGAATTATTCATAAATATTGAAGACAACAATGTAATCATATAACAATAATTTTATTATTTTTAATAGATACCTATCTATGAGTGATAAAATGTATTTTGTCAATATTAACATTTATAATAATATATGTACAATGTACATTTACGATTATTGTAACATTAATGCGTAATTTCTAACATCAGTGGTTTGAAATTACTTTTTTAATTATTATCTAGAGCTATAAAAAAATAACCTTAATTCATTATTTGATCAAAAATATAATTTTAATTTCTAATATGCAACATAATATTAAAAATTGAAATAATTGTTGTAAGGAAAAATTCTTTACTAAAATATATGTGCCAAAAAAAAACCTAAAATTATGGCTACCGCATTTGGTTATTATGTGTGATAAAACAATTCCGTACTGTACCTATACAACATAAATGGTTACAAATTAGAAAAAAAAACAAGACAAAAATAATAAAAATGAGTGTTTTTATTATTAATAACAAGTATCATCATTATTACATCCTTGACATGTGACGTATAAACAGTGTTGTAACAATTTGTCTATAACAATTTTTTATTACTACATTTAAATAAACTTACGCATTGACATCGTTGATAGGTTTGATGGCTTTCCGTGACATTTAAAATAATTTATGAGAAAATAACGACAGTTTGCATTATATGGTGTGAAATTAATATAGGTCCAAACCTTAAGCAATAAATCAGACGGTTCAATGAATGAATTTAATTTATTTTAACAATACAACACTTATTGTACATTTTTAAAGAAAGTAACATTGCAAAGATATCTCGATTTTTTTTTAATAGCCTTAAGCATTGCCATAATTTTGTCATCTAAACAGCATAAATAAACAAATATATACATTTTGAATACAAGAACGAAAAAATGTATTTTATAATAATTAATAACAAGTACTAATTTATTAAGTACTTAACATTACAATGTTTATGTATCTACGTTTGATCATTTTAAGTTATGCTACAAATTTTTAACATGCATAATGTTATCTAATTCATAACAAGCTTTAACTCTATGTAATTGATTTTACAATTATTCTTCTATTCTCTAATTAATAGTCGAATTCATTTTGTGACCTACCTACACTAAAATTCTAATTTTTAGTAAATATTATTTCATTCATCTTTATAAAAGTATATTTTAAAATACAAAACACATAGGTAGGTACTATTGTATAATCAAATTAAAATAAATGAAACAATTAGGGTTCATGACTGTAACAAGACACTACACACTGCATAGGTATTCAAAATACTTAAATAGTTTACATCACTGCACAATTTATTGTGTTCCTGAATGTATTGATTAATTTTACATATTTATTTTTATTTTTTGGTTTTATTGAAATTCGTCAGTTTATCTTATTACATATGTTAAATAAAGGAAAAGACGTTTTTAAAAGACATTCAAAAATTCAAATTATATTTAAATTTATCGTTTCTTTCAAATACGGTATACATGGAATTATGAAAATATATTTTGTAATAAATTATTTACAGCACAAAAATAATGATTCTCCAATTTATAAAACACGAATAATGATTATTGTAAAAATGTTTTTGCATATAAAATATTTTATTAATCTAAAAATAATTTTAAGGTTCATTTAAAAAAATTTAGCATAAAACTACTCATGTATTCATAATGTATCTTCGATAACCGGTAAAAGTAAACCAGATTCCACAATACAGTTTATTTAAATATTCTATGCACTATGCATCATGTTTTGTTACCTTATTTAATAGTTAACAGTTAACAGTATGTCATAATTGTGTTACATTACAGTTACTGGACTTAAATATTAAATTTTAAAGCACGAACTTAAATTAATTTAAAATTACTTGTTGAAACTCAAGATTTCTGAATAAATTTTATATTTTTACGAACTAATTATTCCACAGCATAATATTTTTCAGTGATGAAAATTATCATGAATTATATGAATTTAAGGAAGGTTTATAAAATCATTAATGTATATATAGATTGAATATATATTACAAATACTAATTTTTAAACTACCTACTAATAATTAGTAGATACTATTTGTACATCATACTCTGAGAACATTTATTAAGTAGTATTTTATTACTTACCAATATGGATAATATCGTAGTAGGTAAGAACTAATAGTATATGAAATTCGTAAAACATTGATTCAAACTTTATTAGCACTTACAAAATAATAAACATTTTAGTACCCATTCATTTTTTCAAACTTATCAGTTGATAGAATATAACGAATAAAATAAAAATATTAGGTGCACGCACGGTGCCATGGTTGTTACATAACTCGTCATATTTACAATATCCGAATGTTTAAGTTTAACTTTTTAACATTTAAAACAAGAGGGGTAACCAATCAGATATACAAAAAGGGTCGCGTATACCTCGTCATTGAGGAGTAAGTTACTACTGTAATGTATGTGTCAAATTTGAACTCAATAATGAATCATTGCATACGAAATTCATACGATTCTGAGTTATATTTTTCAGCCTGTATTACTAAGTGTATACTTACTACGTAATAACATTTATATTTGTATTAAGAGGACGTTACACCGACATTTGTTGTCTCCGTCTTTTTACCAAAATTTATGCTCAGAAGAATTTTTAAACTAACGGAGCTAAACGTGATCTGCTAAGCGTACAATTTGATATGTTACGCACTTGTACAACTAATATCGGTGTAAAGTCCTCTTAATATAATTTATTTTATTATTATTAATACAGTGTCAGTAGGTTGAGTTTATTTTTGTTGAAAATGTAATTGTGTGTATAAAAGTATATATTAATATATTTTAAAAGTTTCAAGTAAGTACCTACCTACCCATGAATAATAATTTTAAATTACAAACAAAATAACTAAAAACGTTAATCTTTGTTTAAATATCTAATTTCTTAAAAATGTGAACTTAAAATATCTTTAAAAATAAAGGCGCTTATACAATATATATTTTAGATTCCTTAGTTACAGTATGAAATACTTATGAGAAACCTTTTATTAAATGTTCAATCCGTAGCTTTAAAAATTTAACATTTTTACTACAAAACTATTTACACATTTTCTTAATTTTTATCATTAATATGTTTTGATTGCTGCAATAATAACAAATTATGATTTATCGAGAACCTTATTGTACAACATTTTTAATCTTTTAACCGATCAAAAATGTGTTGTTGGTCATTTATAGAAACAAAACTTTACAAAAATTTAAAATGTTTATAAATAGCTCAAATAGTCAACATAGTCAACATTTATCATGTATAGAAAATGATAAAATAATCATTTGGTGAAAATTCAAGTATCTAAGGTTCTTCATTTTTGAATTACAACAAATATCAAAAATTGATTTTGTCGAGTACTATTTTTCGTAAAATTTCCCGTTAATTTTATTTTGTTGTTATTCCCGGGTATTTTTAAAAGTACTAAGAATTCCACCCAAAGTACCTACCAAATCTAATATTATGCTATCAGAAACCACCCATAAAGTTGAAAATTGAAGCAAAAGTTGACGAGTGATGACAAACATAAAAAAAAACACACAGACATCATTATAAAATCAATATAATCATTAGCTCAGAACGGCAGAACCTAAAGGCTAAAATCAACGTAAAAGTAACTAGGTACTTAAATAAACTAATTAAGATAACTCGTTAGAAATGAAAGTATATTTACCAAAATATAAGACTATAACTTAGTTTATATAAATAATACTAAACTTATGCAATAATATTAGGTATATTATATATTATATATTATATGTATATTACATTATAAGACATACACTTTTGAAATTTTGTGTTATGAATATGAATTATAATAAATAATATGAAAATTAAATTAATAGGTACCGGTTGAAGAATTTACCTACAATCTATATTATAAATAAAAAATATACATATATATTTGTTCTTCCATTTCAGTAGTATCTAATTGATATAATATACGATCATAATATAGGAGGGATTTCTATTTTGAGTTTAAAAATATTTATTTTTGTTGTAAATTGTAAAGCTAAAAAGTAAACTTTACTCACATCTAATAAAGTTTAATGTATATAAATATATATTTTTCCGAAATGTTTAGGAATAAATATATTATGATATAGAATAAATAGAATAGTTCATAAACTCTAATAACTATAGTTCAAAGTTAAATCTAAGGGAGAAAAATCATTTTTGTCCACTCACAGTTTTTCAAGTTTAAATAGTTTTATTTGGTAAAATATGCATGCGATATCATAAGATATGATGAATATAAAGAGAAGAATATTATACCACATAAAAAGTATTATCATAACGTTTAGAAATGGAATTTTAAATCAACTTTTCACAGAAATATTCCATTGAATTTCACGATTGTCAATATCTTGTTAAAGACGTGACAATACTTATTAATCGACTTAAGCTCTAGAAACATATACACACACACACACACACACAAAGGTACAAATTATTTAGAACAACGAGTAGGCAATGAGTGAATCATTATTATACTGTACGTTAATATGCACACGTTTCGCGTGAGCCAGACGTTTCGTTGTTGTACAAACTGATTTTAATCGAAACGGTGTGGCCCGGTGCTTTGTGAATTTATAACGCAGGACCCGGAGGAGAAGGAGACGACGGACAGTCGGATCATCAGCAGCAGGGGCAGGACAATGAACACCGTCCTGCGGCGGACGCGCAACAGCTGGACGTACCCAAACCGCCGGCACGCCGCCTGTCGCGCAGCACAATGTCACTGAAGATTGCACCTGATATACCGCCAAAACCGCCGAAATTCCAGTTTTTCCCATCGTCCCCGACCGCCATGTGCCTGACCATGCCCATGACCCCGATCGCCGACCCGACCATCCCGAATGGGTTTTCGCCGCAACTTTACCAGGCGTACACGTCAAACAAAGCCACCGATTTTTTCTTCAAACAACTGGACGGTAAACGCATTATTGATTTTGATTACAATATATTATTACTATGATAATATCATATTATATTATGATTTATAAATTGATATTGTGGTGTGGTGGGTGCGAATTAACGCCATCAAACGGGTGTGGTAATGGCTGATAATAATCAACGGACTACCTGCAGGCGTTGCGTAACAAACGAAACGAAGAACCGTAAAAGTTCGAAATTAGGTTACGTCGGGCCGAGTTAGGTCAAACGTCGATAAAGAGTTATGCGGAAAATATACACCGAAGAATGTGAAATGTAAATAAGGCATTTCATTCTACGTACCTATAGCTGTCTAAACAGCGCAATTTATAATATTGTACCTATACATATCATGAATATATATAATTTAATGCAAAGGACTTACACTGTAATGGCAGCACTCACCTTTTTGGAAAGAACTTTTTAGAAATTCATTTTTTTTTAGCTTTGAATACCACTAGTCGTAATAGACATTGCGGTAGGTAGCAGATATAATATTGTGATCGTATTATTTCTACTAAAGAAAAAAACACGATTACCTGTCAACTATAAATTACGAATTACAATGTTTAACACATTATTAATAAAAAAAAAAAAAAAAACCTTACAGCAGTGAAATTTTTTTGTGCCCCACTAACTATAAAAAAAAGTGTGCACTGAGAAAAAAAAATGTTGAACGGTATTTATAATTTCATTAACAACCGTTTATTTGTTGAGCTATAGATATTTACAACTTTATTAAATTCAAAGTCTATAATAAAATAAGATGAAATGTCTTGTTTTTGGAATAATTATAGGTTTATATGATAAGTTGATTCATGGCTATATAAATCGCTATAAAAAAGCTGGTTGCATTAAACATTTTTAAATTTCATAATTTTAAATTAAACAAATTTGTATTTGCATTAAATTTCTATTTTCTATCATTGAGTTTGAATTTTAATGATGGGTTGTAAAAATTGTTGACACATCTCCCTAATCGGAGACAGTGGGTATAAAAAGTGTGCTTTACAAAAAATTAGAAAAAATATATTCTCTGCCTTATGGTAAAAGGTAAATCGTTGAATACAGTGGTGGTGTATTTTTATATATAAAAAAAATAACATACCTAATAACTCCTCGATGGCAATTTTTCAGAAATGCAATATAAATTTAAAATATGAAATATAAAATATTTAATATATTTAACTTTCGTCAATATTGTACCATACGCCCGAAACTCGGTGACCATATTAAAATTCGCAACATAAATCCAATATATTTTCTTTCGATTTTCTATCTATTTTTAAATATAATGCTATACATAGTAGATATTTATTTTTCAATTTCATCGGAAAACTAAAACACAACACACAGCATACTAAAATAAATGTCCGTTACTCATATTATGTTCGCATTCAATAGCTTGTAACTACCAACTTTAAACATTTAAAATAAATATCATATAATATAGTCAACAATCTTAATTTTCGATGAAATATGTTTGACAAAAATGATTTTAAGTTTTATCCTCCAAAAACACTGTATTTTAAATATTATTTAAACATTGACTAATCCATAGTCATAATTTAAATTTCATAGCTTTAGACGCTTAACTTTATTTACCGTCTTATACTAGTTATACTTGACTAATCCTTACTATAGTTTACTACAAGTCCTTAGGTACCCCTTTTTTATCTTTTAATTTTATTACCCAGGTTTTATTAGTATTATATATTTTATAATATATATGTTAAGGGCAATGTGGAATACCGGGCAAAGTGTTCCTGCCTGTGCAATGTGAACCACGATTTTTTTTACTAACCAACTAATATTAAAATTAACTTTCATTATAAATTATAATTTTATTATTCACTACTTATAACAATTTACAGTATTTTTTTTTTAACAATGTTTATTAATTTTATTCATAGATTATAATAATATTAAGAATATTTTGATGGAATAATAAAAAAAATTAACAAATTTAACCGATTTTATCAAGGCAACTATTACTTTTATCATTCCAAAATGGGTAACAAAAATAAGTTAATACACCGTGTTTCAAAAATTGTATAGTTTATTGTAAAATTGCATTGCATTTAATTTATTACAAAAATTACATTATGATTAATGATAATATTAGTTAATTTTTTTTAATTTCATCAATATTATATATATATATATCAATTATTATTATTATTTTTGTTTTAAAATATTCGTAATATGATAATAAAATTAATAATAATCATTGTTTTTTTAAAAATTTTATAAAAAGGAAAAAATTTTAAATTTATAAAAAAAACAATACTTTAAATTATTATAAATAGGTAATAATAAAATTATAATTTTTAATGAAAATAAAAATTAATATTAGTTGATTAATATAATAAATCGTGGTTCACATTGCCGGGGCAGGAACACATTGACCGGGCAATATACACTTTGCCCGGTATTCCACATTTCCCGTAACATGATATACAAAAATACGCACTATATTACCTATATTTTTTGACTAAATTTGATTCAATTAAAAAAATATATAATAACCCGTAAGACTAAATTAAAATATGATAATAAATACAGTAGTATACCTAATACATGTCGTGTTGGTTAACCAGTGTATCTACTAGTAGGTGTTCTTAAAAAAAAATATAAATACTTTTAAGTTATATAATCATAGTGAACATGAAGAACTAATAAATTAAATGTACCTATTAATTGTTTTTAATTTTAAAAAGGATTCAAAGATATCGTATCCACGGCCAAATCGAGATTAAGCTTTGGCGAACGAGCCGTTTTTTGGATGTACGACAAAATCAGAGAATGGTCTAGAAAGTGGCTTACTCATTTCTTCCTACTCTTCATTGCTGCTGGTTATTGCGCAGCTGGAGCGCTAATATTTCAGGCAGTCGAAGGGTCGAAAGACCAAAACATAGTTCCCAGAGAAAGAGAACAGTTGATTATAAATCTTGCCAATGTAAGTATTGATTCATCAATAAATGTATAATAAACTATATGCCTACACAGTAATACTTAAAAGTTAAAATACATCAACATAATATCACAGTAAATTAAATCGTGATTAAAGGCATTTCAATAAAATTTTAACCATTATTTTCAATAGAAATAATGTTTAAATGTAGGTATTTAAAATAAATATTAAATATATTTAATACTTATTTTTCTATAATATGATAGGTACCTATGTACCTTAAATTAAATACTTAAATACAAAAATCATTTAGACTTCATAATTGTATTTTCAGTTTCTTTTTGACCAACATGGTATTGTTCTGATAATCTGATGTCTTATAGCTGTAGCGGGTGAACATCGAATTTATATTTTGTTCTTGCACTCCATTTTAATTACAGTAGTAAATATAACACACATGTATGGTAGGAGCCCTCCTAGAACAGTATGAAATATTTATAAAATCCAAAAATTACTTCACGTAGAATATTGTTGTTTATTAAATGTAAATTTAAATATAGTACTTACATAGTTAAAATAAATTGTTTTAATAAATTCTCTATGTAATTTTTCAGAATTCTGTACATTTTTTTCGTTTAATATTTTTAATTGATATCTTATAATTAAATATAGGTATAACTTAACAAAACATTACAAACCGACAACCCGACAACATACCATTAGTATATAGGGAAAATTAACAAATCAACTTAGGGAAATTCACATGAAAATTAGAAATCAACCATCAAAAATAGTTTATTCAATAAATTTATCGAATTTATATAAAATCCAAAAATACAATAGGTATACCATATTATATTTATATACCTAATTAGTAATTAGTGTACACAAACTCAAATAAAATACATACAATTCAAATAAAATAGTTACATACTTACATACCCACATTCCTACATACTTACACTATACTATTATAGAGCCATTATTTTTTACCAACCTCCTATTAAATAAATTGAACTTTATGAATGCGTATTACTCACACAATCAAATTACAAAGAAGGTAAGACAATTAATTAAATAACTGTATCTATAATTTTAAGAAGAAACTGTTTTAAAAATTCCACTTACTATTTCACTAGGTATTATTGTGACTAGGTATACTGCTTTCTGATACCACCAACGAGTTAATATGAGTAATTGTTACAACTCTGAATGATAAATATGCCATGCCAGGGTAAAATTAATTCTATTTAGAAAATGTATTAAAAATAATTTAAATAGATAGTTACATAAAATACATATATATATATATTATATATATGAAATATTTTCTAAAACATTGACACCAATACTTTGAATATACAACATAAATACTAAACTAAAATCTTTTTTTAAAAAAAAACGTCACTTAACTATTTGGTGATTATATAAATGTAATTAATCCAATTTTGCTTTATTATTAATTTTAGCTAATGGAGAAAATCGTAAAAAAAAATGACTCAACATTTATAGAAACCAGGAATCTCATTCAAAAATACGAATCATTTTATGTACAGAACAACAAGCCAGAATGGAATTATTTAAACGCCGTATTTTACTGTGGCACAGTGTTCACGACCATAGGTAAGTTCAAGTAGTACAAAAGTATAGACCACAGGACACATAATATTATTCTGTATTCTTAAGTCACTCGACATAGTGTCATTGATATAATATGTTCTGAACTGTTCCCGGTTCATTTTGAGAACGTTATTGCATCTACAACTAGGTATATTTAATAAACTACATAACCTATTATGCGAAACATTTTGCGTTAAATCTATAATTAGCCATTAGGTACCTAGTACCTACCGGTTACCATTATGACTTATACTACATGCATCAAATACTTTTCACACTATTTCACACGTGAAATACATCTAGACTCATTTGAGATTAGTGATTATAATATACTGATTACTAAAAAACTATGGATTAAAACTTAAAAGTATATCAAAACTATAATGTTTACTGTACAGTTGTATAATATACAAGTGAAACAAGATAACTTACACATTTGAACGATTAAAATACTTCAACATTGAATTATTATTGACGTGATGACGTTACCTCCTTAAGAGGACGCTACACCCGCATGTGTTGTCTCCGTCTTACACACGTACGACATAGACAAAACGCGTTTAGGCAGTCTGAGTATAACTCGCTCAATTTTGGTTCTAGAGTAAAAATGCCTATTATGAAATTGAATTGTGATAATATTTCTAAGGGCAAGACGCTGCGGTTTTTCCATTATACCCAATATAACGTTCATTATATCGTTTAGAAATAGAAAAAATTTCACCATTTTTAAAATACCTTTGACTTTTAAAAAATTAAATTTTTTAAAAAAACCGCAGCGTCTTGCCCTTAGAAATATTATCACAATTCAATTTCATAATAGGTATTTTTACTCTAGAACCAAAATTGAGCGAGTTATACTCAGACTGCCTAAACGCGTTTTGTCTATGTCGTATGTGTGTAAGACGGAGACAACACATGCGGGTATAGCGTCCTCTTAACTGATTTGAATTATGTACAGGTATTATATTTTGATGCAATATTAAAATTTGTAACAAAAACAATTTCGTAAAATCTTAAATTCGCTCTTTGAATTGTAATAACATATTATATAATATTATTAAATGTGTTCATAGAATTGTGAGTGCAGTTAAAATGACTCCAAAGCAACCGTTATTATAAAGGCAGTGGAAAATTGTAAAATTTGGTTTTCATAATAATAAATTAGTAAATAAATCATAACAAGTGTCTTAACAATTATGAAATACCTACCTAATTGAGAATAAATAACATTTATTTCACACAAACAAAAACAAAATAGTAATCTGGTCATATAAAATTAATTATGTAAGCTCGTTTGTTGCTTGTTTAATAAATAATAATGATATTGTCATTTATCAACTATCAGTACTAAACATACAAATAAATACTAAGTATTATCAAACTTCAATCGATATTCCAAGTGAAAACATGAAATAACTATAATCTACTTATTTTCTACTAAGCATTTATTTATTTACAACTGCTATAATTCTATAATATTATTCAGAACTTTATATTTTATTTAGAACTATATAAGTATGTCATTATCAAAATAATATTGATGGTTATAGGTTACTAGTTATCATAATACATTTTAAATTGTACTTCGCAGTGCATTTCAACAATACATTAAACAAACATGCAAAAAGAAAAATGAAATGAGAATCTTTTGAAAACCAAAATAAAACAAATACTTCTACTTATGTAATTTTTAACATTAGTCTCTGTTTTTAAAATAATTTAATGTGTAATTAAATGTTTCATAGATTCTATTGCTATCAATTATTATTATTGGTCATTGGTGTTTTGTGCTGAACAATAGATAATACATAATATTAAGTCCTTTCATTTTATTTCTAGCTATATATGCTTATATGCTTATAGTTTAATGAAACACAATTTTAAACTAATGATACTTTCATTCTATGAACCACTGCCTAGTGTACATCAAACATTCAAATATATTTACGTTTGAATTGTTAAATTGGACAATAATTACCTATTTTATTATTACAACTTTAAAGTGATGCTGATGACACAAAATAAAATTTTTCTCTTTAAATATTCAATGAGAAAATAATTTCTAAAATGAATATTTTTTTAAGGAAAAAGAGTATTTCTAATATATATTTTATATTATTTCAAATACTGTAGTCAAATCATCAAAAATTAATTGAATAGGTACCTAAAATTTTAAAACATTTTAAGAAAAGGAACGAATTGAAAATAAAATTCATTATTAATGGTAATATTATATATAATAGTGTGTTCAAGTTGTCCAAGTCTAAATATAAAATATGTAAATTAATGGATTAAAGCAACATAAGTATATAATATACAAAAATGAAAGAGAAATCGCCTTTCGTAACACAAATGTTTTATGCATATTGTACAAGTATATATTTTATGTTTGCGTTAAAACAAATAAACCACTTAACCGCGTAAAAACAATGTCTTCGAATAGTATGAATTATAAATGAGAAACGCTAGTGTTGAATAATTTGTACCCGAAATGAATAGTTTTTAACAGTAGGTACCAGTTCGAATTCGAATTCAAGATAAACAATATGGTTAGACACATAGACATGGAATTTTCGATACATTATATTGTTTTTTGTTTTGTTTTGCGATGAGTTTGTTTCATTACAATAATATTGAATAGTGTGAAATGATTATTCAGAAGGTTCTTACTAAAACCAAATGGCTTATAAACAAAAATATTACTAACAAAGAATAACTACGTCTCAAGTGCCTATTTGTTTATAAGTTATAACACGTAGATAAATAACAACTACTTCAGTGCTAAAAATATATTAATAATCCTCTCTACTTGATTTTGACATCGGTGACCAATTCTCAATATATATGATTATATGAAGTTCTTTGAAATAAATGTTTGGTCAAAGGACAGTATAATATTATAATGTATAATAATTTATGGTTGAATAATACTAATTCATGTCACGACTACGAGATTAAAATTTAAAATCAATAAGTATAGCTTAATTTTTAGTAGACAAAATTTGTGATATTATGTAGGTACTGTTAAAAATTGCATTGATTATCCCAAATATACACTAAATCTTAAAATATTCACTAAAAGAGTTGTAAAATTAGGATTATATTCCCTTATGATGAGGAAATGTTTGTAAATATAAATTTTTAGAACTTTTAAATTGTATTCGTGAAGTTTTAAAACGGATTTGTCACATGTATTTAGCTAGCTGCAATACGTCGGCTATTGTCCCATAAAAATAAAAATATGTGAATGCGATAGGATTCTAGCTCAAACGTAAGGCCAATAAGGTACTTGTTTAGTGCAATTACTGCAAAATTGCCAATCGGGCATTGAGAAAAGTTATTTTTATGAAATTAGCACGTACCTATTATAAAGATGTGTGTACAAACATATGACGTGGATACATGATTGAGAGCTAGGGACCGGTAAAATGGATCACAATCATCTTAAATCACCATTGCAATAATATTTTGTTATGGTGGCGGCCGTTGTCACTTGTATTTGTATATTTGCTTGGAAAGTAAATTGGAGAAATCTGGATTTGATAATACGTTTTTGTTTCAAGGGGTCTGTATATAATATTATAAAGAATTGTTTGTCTTCATATATTGTGTAGGTATTTTAAAATGTCTATGGAATATTTTTAATAATTTATAAAAAAAATCAAATTTTTATTTTTTATGTGATTAACTGACAAAAATCCAACTTTTTGAAATTTTTTAAAATAAAAAAATACATCTTATTTCGAAAAAAGGCGTTTTCTCTACTATTATCAATAATATATCATACGTTTTTTTTTAACATATTCAACTTATATTATTACAAATTTCATAGCACGCGATTCGATAGTGTTCCAATATTAAAAATTTTAAAAAAAATTCCATTTTGCAATAATTCCTAAGCACTGCTGATAACAGTGTTTACGACGAAAATCGAGCAGTAACGGTATGACGAAGAGTAGACTGCGCGCATGCTAGCCGCCGCTCTTCGGTTATATTTAACCAGATTCTATTTATACGTGGCCAGGCATTTCGCTGGCTGTGACACAGATTTAATGTTTTTATATGATGTGCCGTGTCAGTAGAGCGACGCTGGAACGGCCAGTGGTCAACGGTTTTGGTGGCGGTGGCGTTAGCGGTGACGACGAATTTGATTTAAAAAAAGTTCTACGATATCTCGTATCCAATTACTATAACACCACATAAGATTCACTTTCCATCACAAAAATATCTCTGCATTGACATTGTTACACCGATCGGTACCGGTCGCGAACGCCACCTGACGATGAAGAAAAGCGATGATGACGACGACGACAACAACGAGAGTTGTTACACGGACTACGAGACTGATGGTTTTTGGAGTTCAGAGAAAACTCTAATGGAATCCGTACAGGGAAAAGGGGCCGCGAACGCATCGACGACCACCCGGAGGAAGAAGAAGAAGAAGAAGGTCAGGGACCGAGGAGATGGTAAGAAGTTGAACGTGGCCGGAACAGGCCTGAGACACCAGTGGCGATGTTTCCTGCAGGAGAATGACGACGAGTGGCGAAAGTTCTGGAATGCCGGACGCAAATGCTTTATCAACACGGTATTGTTAGAAACGTGGTAAACTTGTGTGATGGGTGATGATGGTGGTTGGGTGAGGGATGGGGGGGGTCATTGTTCGGACGGCGTCAAATAATCGATCGCGCCGGTGGCTATTCCGTCTGCAGTAGCAGTGGTTGGCCGTAGTTCCTATATGCGATTACCTATTAAAATATTATTTTCGCACCAACCTATTTACGAGCTGCGGCACAGTAGTAAAACAAAAATGTCCTATATATGGGTTCGTAGTGTTTTCCCATCTTTCAGAAGACCTTCGAAAATACCGTATTATAGACAGCTTATTTGTACTTCGATTCTGAGCAATATGAGCAATATATTAAAGGATTTACAATACTTGGCGTGTTTTTACTTTTTTTTTATCTATGTACATAAGCGTCGAAGGTTCCGTGTATTGTGTCTGTCAATATTTGGTACTTTAAAGAGCTCATTTTTATTGAGTGGGTAATTTTAGTCCACGTTACGTTTGGCTTATACCTGAAATTGGTTTATTTTCCGGGCTAAAAATTTACCGATCTAATGTTACATTATGACCACCACATTATATATAATTATATAAATACATCTGTTGAAATCGGGTAGATGGATATGAGCAACTTTTAGAGTTCTTCTGGTCCGAATTTCGAAATCGTTCCCCGTGGTGGAGGCTGGAATCGATTAAACATCATGGACGGCTACTGCAAAAAAACGAGTTGCGTCCCGCGATAATAAAATATCTTCCGAATTGCAGTCCAGTATGTTTTAGGGTATATACTAATTGCAGCCCATGTTATTTTTGTGTACACATACTAATTAAAAACATTAAATATCATATATTACGTAACTTTATTTTCCTTCACATTTGTACACAGACCGTCTGTAGCATCATTACTACAGGTAGATTAAAAATATTGTTTTGCAGTTTTCATTTAAATATTTATCATATTTAAAAAAAAAATTAATATCATGGCACTGGTAAAAACTTATCTCATATTTATTTTTTTATAATTTCCAATTTTTTAATATTTTGTAACTGTCGTTATTAAACAGTCCACGGTAATATTATGTTATGACGGACTTGTCTTAAAATTATATATATCATACAATAAAACATTAATATGATGTTATAAAACTGTATTATGATTATCGACTGTGACTAATAAGAATTAAACATGTTAATAATATGCCTATTACATTATATTTATCGGTATAAATGTATTGATAGACTTATAGACACGTCTTAAAATGATAAATATTGACCGGGCCGCTATCACGAAAGAAACTCGGGCTGCAATAAATTCGAATTAAACCTTTTTTCGTAATTATCTTTGGGACGCAACCAGTATGCACCCGAAACTACGAAGGCTGACGGGTTAGGTCATAAGGGATGGGGTCGGGAATGGTAATGGTATAGGGGGATGGATACCTCGAACCGTGCAGTATAACTCCTTTCGAACACTCCTGTACGCATGTATACCTGACGTGGTCTATTGATCGTGACCAATAGGTGATATTGGTGGTCATGTGCGGCGTGGGAGGTATGGTGTTCCGTTACACCGAAGGAGCTTTCGAGTCGTTCTACAAGTGCGGCGTGAAGAGGGTGAAGCGCGACTTCTTGGACGGGCTGTGGACGGACAGCCGGAGGATGGGCGCAGACGAATGGAAACAGACGGCCCGCCGGAAACTGGTAGAGTTCGAGGAGCAGCTGCACGACGCCTTCGAGGCGGGCACGACCACGTACAGCGGCCGCAGCTCGTGGAGCTTCGTCAACTCGGCCATTTACTGTTTCACCGTGGTCACGACCATAGGTAATTCACTCATTTCACAACCCAGCCATTGACACACCACCTGACTCGTCTGTCAGCCCTGGACCCTGGCGATGTTTTTCCGTTCCGCAAACCGATCAAAGCTTACAGCAGTGTTCTAGCGATATTTAATACAACGATCTATATATTATATATTGACATCTCCCGCCACCGATTCGGTCCAATCCGTTATCCCGATTCAAAAATATAATGTATTGCAGCTCAGTCCATAGATAATCCAAATGAGAGTTTTAGAGATCCGATCCGTTTGCTTTAATATTGAAATAGTGTTTTAGATTAGCATTAAGTACAAATGACTAATCGGGCCCGGAAAAACCCTTTTTTAAATACAATAATATTTATACAATTATACCTAGTTTGAAAAAGATCCGTCATAAAATAAAATACAATAACTGTATTTTAATTTTTGGATTTCAAATCGGTCATTGTAATCTAGATTTTCTCAGTAGTTCGAAACAGTATTTTTCCATCAGGATTTGATAATGATTTCCAAACTAATTTATACTGCAGCCAGCATGTGGGTGTGTGAGGTTCGAGGGCAGGATTTGTACTTTGAGGCGGGGACGTGTCTACTTAACGGTTTTTGTAATTTAATCAAGCTTTATAGTTTACACTCACGCAGCAAAACTTTATACGCTCACGTCCCCCGATGGTAATATTTTTCATCCAGCAAATTAATTGAAAAATGAATGTGTTTTGTAGATATGACGTACATTTTTATCACACGATTGACCGGATACTTCGGTTCTTTTTAATGCCCTATTCCGCGTTTTTCTAATATACACTGTGGTGGCTGGTATAATAATCGTGTAACACGTATATAACATTAAATAAAATATATTTTATATATTATACAGGTATATATTTTGATGAAGTCGCGAAAAGGTTTTGACTATATTTTAACGGTGCAATAAACACAGTTCACCTGTGGTCTTATCACACCGAAAATTAATCATATTTATCACGAACACTATAATATATTGCTATATTTTCGTTAGAGTCTCACCTTAAATAGCGCAATAAACATATTTCACAGTAGAAACACTAGAAACATAACACTAATAAAATACGATCAATCATTTTTTGTGATTTTTGTAAAGCCTGGAAGTTACTTGAATTTTAATCTGAGGCTATTTTAAATAATATAATCATCGTGTTTTGATAATATTGCTGTATTTTTTATATAAATATTATCTGACACATTTTCAATCTTATCAAATACTTTTGATACTTTAAAAATATCAAAGTTTTTATATTTTACTGTGGTAGAATAAAATGATAAAAATTGAAAGTCTCTATGCTATAATAACTTTACTAATACTTTGATCTTTAGGACTTATTGGAATATTGTACATAGGTATTTACTATTTATATGATAAGCTGCATGTAGTATAAACTATAAATATTGTTAATTATACCAAAAATCGAATTAAATTGTCTTAAATTCACTGTACCCACTCTAGAAAAATGATTGGTGTTTGATGTTTGATGTTTGGACAAGAAGAGTGATGTGAAGGTGAAGTTATAACTTTATCTCGGCGCCCATTTTCCACATATAATAAATATTCACTGTGGCTCCCTTCGTCTAAACTTTAAACGGTTCATAAATCAATCTGATCTACCTCCCACAGTATAATATATTTTTGTTGTACCGCTGAATACGTGTTGAACAGAAACTGTTAAAATCCTAGTCTTTTGATATTAATTCTTCTAGCGACTAGCCCGACGCAATGTATTTACAATTTACACCCAAAAACTCGTTAGTCGTTGTTCCATCGATTGATGTACAAAATTACAAATATGAGCAACAACACAAAACAACACTACCTACATGACGCTGATTACACGCAAAATACAATATTCGTGCCCACGTAGAAAATCTGAATACATTATAATATTATTATGTCCTATAAATAATATTAATAATAATAGTAATCTTCTAGTTGAATCAATTTCATTATGTCTCGTATTACTAACTTTGTCCATTATGCCTGTTAATATCCGTTATAGATTCACATAGTATAATCCATTGTTATACCGAACTAAAGAATCCAAACATCCCTCAGGTATAAGGCGTATTGAACGGCATTAAATACTATTAATATTACGATGGTCCAGTAAAATATATACATAGTAAATGAAACAAATTGAAAATAACAAGTATAATATACCTAACCTTCGTTGTTACTTTATGTGTATTTAAAATGTATGATACATAGTATTGTTAGTTTTTGTTTGACCTACAATAGGTAGTTAACATGTGTAGTGTACACATTTTCTAATGAAAATTCCGTTATATCTGTATTTATGAGTATATGACGTATGCGTAATTATATAGAATTAATTACATGAATATTTCAACAAATTACTTTCTTATACATGCGTAGGTACACATTATTAAATAATATGTATTTAAATTTAAATTTCTTAACTTATAAAACATTTTATAAGGTGATAAGAAACAAGTAGATTTAATTAAACAAGCAGAGTTCAACAGTCATATTTTATCAGCATAGTTTTAAATTTAAATTTGTCAAAATTGGATACACTTGTGACTTGTTAGATCAGTAGCCACTAGCCACACACAAAATAATATAATAGTCAACACACGAAATATGTAAAATGTCGTGTCAAACGAATTATCATTTATAAATTTATATTTATTTTAAAAATGTATTTGAAACATAATATTAAATTATTGATAGGCAATTCAAATGGTTCATAATAATGAGATATTTTTCTCGTAAACACAGTACAGCATTTCGGTGTACAGTGTACCTAATACCTATACATATTATATACATTTTACACGTTAAACGTAAAAATCGTAAACTATATTGACGGTTATCAATAAACTGTTCAATAGTTCAATGTGTATTCTGTGTGACAAAATTGAAATGCCTACCAGCTGGCAGCTCTAGTTAGTGTTATTACTTGATTATTTATCTTACCTAAATAAGTACTATTAGGTATAGTATTATGTGGAAGAACCTCTTTTGACGACTATTGAATTTACTAAAAATTAACTACGAATAATAGCCAAATTAATCAATTTATAAACGTACAGATTAAATATGATCATTCATTTTAAATTGTAAATCATTATTATTACACGCAATGTATAAAAATGAAATTTAATAATAAATATTATACATACTTAAAATGTTTTGACAAAGTTTAAAAATAGCAAAATAAAATTTTTATTTTATCTTATTTTTATTTTACATACGAACCTATTGATTATTTTAAATGCTTAACAATAAACACTCTTTATTTCAAAATTATGATTTTTTTTTTAATCCTTAATTTTGATAAAAAGTCTTATTAATAAAAACTATCAGTTATGCACTTCTGCATATTCGATACCTACCTATTCATTATAGATATATTCAACAACTAGATAGCCGTCATTATACTACAGTTGTGACCAATATTGAAATCGGCCGCCATTTACAAAGCAGGCAATATTTACATTTATTTATATACATCTATATTTATCTATACATATATACTATGATAATATTATTTTGTAAACATTGCCTGCTTTGTAAATGGCGGCCGACTTCGATGACAAGAAGGAGACGGCTATCTAGTTGTTGTATATTTCTATGCTATTTATACAAAAAGTGTTCTAATGACATTAAAAATATAGGTTGTTTATTTGTTATCAAATGTTATTATCAGTTTTCTCAACAAACAAAACTAAGAAAAGATAGGAATATTATAAAATGTTAGAAATGCATATCATATTGTACCTGAAATTGTCTAAAAATACAATTTCAAAAATAGATTTATAATTTTTGAAACAATGTGTGTTCTCTGTTCAAAGATCCACAAATGTATATAATATTAAGATAACAATTAAATAATTACATTTTACATATGTAGGTATTACACGTGCAGTGTAGGAAATAGAAATTAATAAGTAACGTTTATCAAATACGAAATCAAAATAATTTCAATAAATTCAACCAAATAAAGAGCCTATTAACAATTCAAACATATTATTATGTTTCGTACTTCTTTAGATTCCAACTTCCGGCTGTGGCATGATAATTTAAACTTACATGCAAACAAATTTGACATATTTGGCTAGTACGAGTTTATGGCCCATTGACACACATCATTATATTTTGTACTGCGTATGAAGCGCTTTAAACAAATGATTAAAACGTACTTGTTGTATAATTTTTAGTCTACATTTCTTAGCAGTACTTAGTTATTAATTATTACCAAAGCCTTATTATTACCAGAATGCTTGAAGACTATGCAAACTGTGTCGTCAAACAGATCCATAAAATACAAGACGCCACAAAATAAGCTTCGCAAAAACCTTTTGCACACAACACTGATATTCACTGGCCTTTACAATTATTTATAGTAATCCATATTGAAAGTTGTAAACATTTTCGTTTTTTTTCATTGCTTATTAAGTATTGGGTATATACTATATTTATTATTTTTTCATACCTCGTAAAAAAATACTTCAGACAGACGGTTCTTATAAATTAGATAACTCACAATGAATTTTCATTATTTCAGGTTACGGTCATATATCTCCGTCGACGAATACTGGTCGGCTGATTACCATTGTGTACGCAATATTTGGCATACCGATATTCCTTATTTTGTTAGCCGATTTCGGAAAAATGTTCACCAGAGGCATTAAATTTCTCTGGGCGTTCGTCCGGCGTCTATACTACACCGGCAGCTGTCGAAAAGTTCGCAGAACTGCGCCAGTTCAAGTAAGTAAAAATAATTTCCATGACCATACTAAACCTTAAACTCCACGATCCGTATAGCGTACAATAGTGCTATCACTTTTGAATGACTTGTGAATTTAGACTATGCGAATCTGAAACCTTAGATCGTTCATAAAGGACACGCATGACTAATAAACTATTTCATTTCAAAATATTTTATGCATTTTGGTAACAGTAATGCGAGTTATACTGTGAGGACAACGTGAAATGTCTTCTATTCATGATTAAACGACCTTTGTACATAGTATAAATATATGTTATTACGTTAATTACGTTAAATTACACGTTTAAAATGTAAATATGTAGTCAAAATATAATATCTGTGGACTGTTTCGTATTATTAAATTACCAATTAGGTACTTTATTCCATGATTCTGTCGTATAAAATAGTAATTAAAAATAATATATCTAACAATTCAAAATGTTCGTTGTGATGCATGAGGGTAGGTGTAAATAATAGGTGTTAATGGTAGTTGACCATGATGATGTGAAAATGATATTTTATTAATTTCAAAATAATTGTATAGGTATTTTATAAAACTGCAGGGACAAAAACAACAGTATAACTTTATATGTACACTATACCGGTGTACTAAATAAATATAAAGCTATCAATCAGTGGGAGAATTTTAAATTACATTATTATTTACTTACCAAACATAAGTTTCTATTGTGATAATTTTAAAAGTTTAATCGCTTTGAACTGTAGATAAAATAAATGTGTTAAATGTATATTAATATGTAGGTATACACTTTTATGTAGGTGGGTAGGCAAATATATTTGTTTTTGAGTGTATTTATAATATATTAATTTAAAACATAATATTTTATTAGAAATTAGATTGGAAAGTGTCGAAAATGTAATATGTTTTTGACAAGTATTCACTTTTGTTTCTCTTGATACTATATTGTGTACTAGATATCAAACGTATTAATTCATTAAAAAATATCCTTTTAACCATAAAATATTTTATATTTTCATGTACCTAGGTCAAGACTATACACTGTTTACCCAATTTGTTTGTAAGTTGATACGACGAAATATATAATAGTTATTACATTGTATAGTAAAATAACAGTATAATAACCACAACACTCAGTAATATTATATTAGAATATTATATAAAGTTTGCTGTTCCTTTTTAAGTATAGCATTTAAAAATTAAAGCAAGCGCGAGGGTTCAAAATATACAAAAACAAACTACCTATATAACTCGTTTCATAAAAAAAGTATTTTTTCTCTTATCTACAGTAACCACATTAAAATAAGAGATCGAGGATATCATTTGATTTGATAGGTCATTGCATTTCAAAAGTGGTAGTAATTAATTTTAAGTTATAATGGACGTAGAATTCTTTAAAAAAAAATGGTGTTAATGTTTCGCTTCGTATTTCAATTGGCCAGAGAAAAGCATGTGAACGCAGTAATACAACGAAGACATTTTAATTGTTTGTGTTTCCATAAAATATACAAAATAACTTTTAAAGGCTTTTAGAAGTCGATTACTTTATAATCCCCGAATTTAAACATTGAAATCTAATTATTGATTTTAAATTAATTTGGTACAGTGTGTTCGATATTATGTTGTTTACCAAACAAGTAGACATTAAATACTATTTAAACGATTATTGAAATTAAAGCCACATTAAAATTTAAATATTTAGCGAAACCAAGTATGGAAATATAATACTATCATTATTTTTTATCGATTAACTTTTATGTTTCGATGTAGGTATTTTGTCAGAAAATGAGAGACTCGAAAAAAATTTATCTAAGTCCCTCCTTATTCAACCGTTATGTTCTTACCACTATTTGAAATTATGAAAAACATTTCCCGAAGAAGAGGTAACTTTTCGTTAAATATTGAACCAATTTTAAATTAATAGCACCATGTCAGTGGTAGCTGAGAGGCAAAATATTATGATGAATAAGGTGACATTTTTCACGCTTTTGTTTTAAATATCCAGCCGCTAAATTTAAGCCACTTTTAGAACCAAAAGTGCAATACATTTTATGCGTTACGAAAGTGTAACATTTACAAAATATATTTCGGGAGTTAACCCTCCCCTCCCTCCTATATACATACACATCACAGTTTTCCGGTGTTCTATTTCTCCAAATTGTTATAACAAAACGCAACACTGACCGTTTTTTTTTTTCCAGGAGGTCATGAAAGGCGTACAGATGATGTACGACATTACCAAGTTCCGGAGGCCAAGCAACATGTTCGGTGGGGTTCCGGACAGTCAATCCGGATTTCCTCCCACGTCCCCTAGCACGCCGGCCCTCAGCGTGTACACAATCGACGACGAGTTCAACCTACCCGTTTCGGTTGCGTTCATGATGCTGGTAGTATACATCGTAATTGGAGCAATCATGTTTTGTTTCGAGGAAGGATGGGGATTTTTTGAATCCTTCTATTTCGTCTTCATATCCATGTCGACGATCGGATTCGGAGATTTCGTGCCCAAGGTTCGTCAATGACCCATTGGTTATGATTTAAGATCAAATCCGATAATCTTCATAATATGATTTTAATAGAAAAAAGTTATTATTTTTCGATTTTTTTTTAATCTGTGTCAAATTCTAATAGTTTATTTTGGGTGGTTACATATTGTACATAATATTATAAAAAAGGAATAAAATGATAAATGTAGTTTTTGAGATTATAATCGTACAAACAAGCATGATAAATAATTTATGTGTTTTGGCTGAATGTATATAAGTGTCATTTGTTTTTGGTTAAATATGACCATTCTGCAGAAGTTAATATTCATAAGAAAACGGCCTAGCCCGTAAACCATTAACAATTTCTCTTGATTTTTTTCATACAAACGTATTTTAATGGTTTTCCATAACACGGGATGGTAAAGGTATGAAAAAAAATCGATAATATAAAAACTATGGAAAATAAGTTTTAAACAAATGACTAATTTGAAAAAAAAAAAGTAGTATACTTATAGGTACTCAAAGTATTTCCACTAATTCTTCATTACTACTCAATATTTTTGTATTTATTTCGTAACCATTAATATTGAACATTTGTTTCACAGAACCAACTCGTGATGATTGTGTCTATCGTATACTTGGTTTTCGGACTCGCACTGACGTCTATGTGCATCAATGTAGTACAGGTAAGAGTTGACAATTTCGTTTTTTCATAGAAGTAATTCTTTTTATTTAAAAAGTATTGATATTAAAATATTATAAGGCTCTGCTGATATCATAAAATACTTGTAGAATTCATTACCCGTAGAGAAATATCGTTCCCTTTCCATCCGGTCGGTGTTGCGAAATTATATACGAACGATCGTTAAAATTGTAGGAAACAAAAACCTAACAAACGTATTTTTAATCATATCCGTCCGTGGCTCCGAGCTGTATTATTTTAATATACGTTATTCTTCATATAGGTACTACTCCCTACCCACAGTCATAAGTATATTAATTATATATTATTATGTACCCGGAACCGTTCCCGGGCCGAATTTAGCATTCGGTATATTTTTTTTTACAATTAATATTAATGCATGTGATTAAGACGAATACGCTAAATCTATTACAGCAAAATTTGTAATGGATACGACCTATTATTCTTTCAACGAGATACGGGGTTTTTCCCACGAGATCGTTTTTATCAACGGACATGGTATATGTGCTCTTTATTACGCCTAGCTTATGAATATATGCAAGTTTCCGGGTGTCCCGACCGTCTCTGGATTATTAATCGTACAGTATATGTATATTACATATTATATTTGCGGTACCTACAGCGCAAGAGGATTTCGGTTCCTGTAAATGTGTACGTTGCATTATTAATTAAACAGTATGTATACGTGGCATAACGATATTTCCTACCCGTGGAATGCGAAATCCAAAGGATAAACCTTCTGGCCGTTGTTGTTATTTATTTTGGACGCACCACACAGCACACGTACCCGCGAGCCGACATTTTTAGTGTAAGACACTCGTTTTTACCGTCAATGTTATAGTGTTTTCAGATGAAAAAATGATTATTATAATTTTCGAGGTAGGTAGACAGGGGGACTGACTTGTGACTTAACGTTTTTGGAAAAATATTAAATTTAAACGCTTTTAATCGTCGTGATAATTGTTTTAGCCGTTTTAGGGTCTTAACATTTTATAAATTACATGAAAATAAGCGAAAGCCATCGATCATCGTACGTCGTAACTCAAAGTAAATTTTTTTTATCAAACTGTCTTAATCATTGAACCAATTTTCCAAGGGTTTAAGCAATATATTATTATTAAGCAAGTTTTAGACGAGCAAAGTCATCAGAGCCGAATCATTTTTCTAGGATCTCATCAAAACAAAAAAAATCTTTTATGCATACAATACAATCGATACATTATACGATTTGATGTTTATATTATGTTTCAGGAAAAGTTGCAGAATTCGTTTAGACAAGCGACGACTAAAATAAGTGCAACAATTGGTCTCGGGTTACCACGAGTAGACAATAACGAGCCGGCGCCTATCGTGGTGGACGACATGATAACCATCGACGCGGACATGACAACAATCGATACGGACGCAGTTACAGATAACGACGACGACTGATTTTTCTTTTTTTCATTTCAACGATGTACGATGACCAAGTACAAATTATATTATTATACGAGATGAGGGATTCGATGTTATGGCATCCCTTGGTTGTATACAATATATAATAACGACGACAAACTCTTCCGAGTCCAGTAAAAATGAAAAAATAATAACTGTATATATATATAATCAATATAGAATCGGTCAGTTTTTTTTCATTCCTCTTTTCTGCGTTATTTTTTAATATTTTACGACCTGTCACATTTATGTCAGCACACTGGTGCACTAAAAATTACGACACAATGGGTGCAGTGCAAAAATGGATTAGCTGCACTTCGCAAATTTATAACGTACAGTTACAAACATAGTACCTAAGAAACAAATGTCGCTTATGTATGCGGGAAAATAATCAAATCGTAAGCAAGACATTAATAATCATAATGGTACGTCAATACAATAATATATTTACTTACGATTTACTTACGATTTACCCACGCGAAACCGTTTAGTTAATTTGCATTTTTTAAAATGCATCAAGTATTTTAGATTTGGTGTCTCAATCTAACATTAGGTAGGTATATAAGAAATTTACATTAATAAAATAATGAGTAATAACTTATTACTAATATAATATATATTGTGTATTTGTGTATCGTCCATTATTCTTCACGTATTCTTTAGACGTTCTTACGAGTTTAGAGATCTCAACCAATTTGAAAGTAATAAATAAATCATAGATATTAATACATTTTTTTCTTTTTATAGAACAAAATTTTATTTACAATCTGTAATTACAATATAATATATTACACTAAGTAAATGGGATTGGGATGATTAGAGGGAGGGGGAAGTCACCCATTGGTGACACCCCATGTATTCATAAATTAAATTTAAAATTAATATTGAATGTTGCCGGTTGTTTTGATTACTTTGAACTCATGTTTTATATTAAATAATAATACCATAAATTGAGTGCGTCATATTTTGGGGAATGGCAGGGTGTTCTTTGATAATTGCCCCTATCTTTTCACGTTTTATTAGTGATCACTAAATTTACAAATCAAAGATAATAATAATTTATAAAAAAAAATTCTGCTTCCATCGACCATCGTGAATCTCAAAATACTTGTGCAAGCACCAATTTCAAATTCAAATTTTGGAAAATTCTCTCTTAGTACACATTTAAATAGGTACGAAGGTAGCTACAGTGAAAATGTCATGCCTCAAGCTACCGAGTTCGATTATATTATATTGTAGCAATACATAACTGTCATAAATAATATAGAAGTAATTAACGAAGAAAAAATAGCCTGAAATGAAAAGAAATTTGCCTGTTTAAACTTTGGCACCCCTATTATAAGACTCAAATTATGACAATGTCAGAAATGTTACACGTTTGTATTTAAAAAAAATTTAAATAACTCTGAAGTCAAAATCATATGTAAAAAAATGCCAATATTAATTTTTAATTTATAAATTGTGATCGATCACAAAAAAAAGGTTGAACTCTGTACAACAACAATAAATTATTATAATATATCACAATGAACCATACCTAATTCATTCATAGCATAAAATACGATTGTAGTGAAGTAAAACATGTTACTATCATTATAAAAATGAAAATTATATAAATTATAAATTATAATATATAAACGTGTTGGAAATAAGTAATACGTTAATGAGCTTATGTAAATTGCTAATTGCTATGCATTAAAGAAACTTAATAGAAACCTTACCGTTCTAAATCAATTAACGCCTTACCTGGATGACATAAAAAAAAGGCTTAATGTTGTCTAATAGAATTTTTAAAAACTGGATAGTACATTTTTTGTAGGACAAATTATTTGAAAAAAAGCATAATAACTTTCTGACGTCCGACTAAGTTTTATTTTTATAACATTTAAATTTTTCATAATTTATGAGATATAAATATTATGGGCACCTTATTTTGCTAAGTTCACTTTATTTTCGTACTTAAAACAACTTAGTCGGAGTTTCATTGAAATTTATTAGGTGGCTAAACAGTCAACTCATAATTACGCTGTTTTCACTTATACTATAAATATTACTACTATTATTATTCTTATTAAACTATAATAGCACACATTTTATCACTAATATTATTATATACCTACTTATAATAATAGCTCTAATTTAAGATAACACAATAATTTAACATTTGTAGTGATAATATAATTTTAATATAATCATAATTTATCTAATTGTTTTTGTGTTAGGTAAATTGAATTCCACTGTCAGATAAAACAAGGTGAATTTAATAAATGTCTACCCTGTCGTAATTCTGCCCTAGTTTATAATACCTAATGATAATATTAGGAATTGGTATTACCTAGAATATATCATTAGAAAGTGGATGTTTATTTGTACCTACCTATATACTACAGAATAAACTCTTCGACAGTTATATATTCAGAACAGATTACGGATATGTATTGGTTTTATAATAATGCATGTTTTGATTTTTTTTTTTTTTGTCTATCATTACATCTTGGAACAGTAAAACTGCTTTGGTTTTCAATTTTGAGAGCGGACTCTGGTACTAAAAATGGTTCTAATTTTTACTTTGAAGGGGTCAAAAGTTATAAAATCGATTTACTCAATTTCAATATACCCGGGAAAAAACAAAACAAAATAAAAAAAGGTGCAGTAGGTTACAAGTGGGTCACTGTATAATGGATAATATTAAATTTGAATTCAATGATACATAATATCATTGTATAAGAAAAACGATTCTGAGCGGAGACGGTAAGTTAGTCGAGGTATAAGACATGTTATATACATATCTATAGTATTAAAAAAAAATTGACCTATAATAAATTCCAAATTAATCATATCTCAATATCCATTACGTACTTATAACGCGTATACATCATTACATCAATAACAAACCGTGATACTATCATAGATATATATTAGTTTAGTTTAGAAGTTTCAAGTAGCAAAGAATAATATTATACAATCACAACAAAATAGCTAAAATAGTTATTCTAGGTTTTTTAATATGTAATTTCGTCCAAATTTGAACTTGAAATGACTATAAAAATAAACTGTGCTTATGAATTTTTTAGATTTTTTGGTAACAGAATTAAATACTTACATGAAATCTCGTTATAAATTTTCAATCCTCAGATATAAAAGTTGAACATTTTATTCAATTTTAAATTTGATAAATTTTGTCAAAATTCGATCTTTAAATCCTTCTAAAAAAAAATTGTGCCTATGTATTTTTAATATTTTTCAACTGATATTGTAACGATATATCAGTAGCTTTGTATGAATTTTTTACACTTTTTGGCCCAACAGATAAAACTTAAATGATATTCATAAAAAAAAATAACAAAAAAATTTAAATATGAAATTGTCCGTAAACAGCTAATAACAAATCAAAATATTTTGAAAATTTTATCAAGTATAAGAAATGATAAAATAAACATTAAGTGAAATTTTCATGTATCGACAGTTATTCGATTTTGAATCACAAAAAAATAAGAAAATCGCTACATGAAAAATCGAGTGAATATCCAATGTTGTCTAAATTTGAATTTCAAACACTCATAAAAATTTAATTTGACTTTCTTATGGACATTTTTTTTTGATAAAGGTAGATATTCTTATAAGGAATCTTGTATTAAATTTTAAAATCTTAGGTATTCTTAACTCATAATAATTTGCTAATTTTTGTGATTTTTCCATATTCTGTCAAGATTTGAATTTTAAATGCTTATAAAAAATAAACTGTGACTAAGGAATGTCAAATGTCAATGTAACAATATAGTAGGAGCCTTGTATTAAATTTTAAAATATTTTTACTCAACAGATAAATTTTTTTTGATGTTCTTAAAAAAAAAATTTAATTTGGAAACTGAAAATGTCCCCGAACAGTTCAAAATAAATCAAAATATTTTGAAAATGTTATAGTGTATAGAAAATGCAAATATAAGCAACTATTGAAAATTTCATGTTTTTATGGTCATTTGTTTTAAAGTTACACCAAAAACCAAATTCGATTTTGAGTAAAAATTCCCGTTTTTCCTTAATTTTTCTTTTGTTTTTCTTAGCACTTTTGAAAATTACTCGGAATTTTAAATTTTGACCTCCTCAATACACCAAAAATATTCACTTTCCAATCGAACAAGAGCCTGAAGTAGAAAATCGAATCATTATTTTGACTACTTATCGTGTACACAGAGACAGAACAAAATAAAAAAATTTAAAAAAACACACATCATTGTAAAATCAATACATTCATCGTTCCACTCAGAATCTAAAACTGCAATTTATACGCATAAAATTTTGTTTTTTTTTGCTAACTCAAATTTAACTCTAGGCTAGGGACTTGAAATTTTCACTGACTAATCAAAATATTAGCATTTATTATACATAAATTGTTATTTTTTTTTTTTGTTTTATTATTTATGCATGATTTAATACAAGGCTGTGAGACATTGTTACAATATCAGTTTAAAAATATTAAAAATACGTAAGCAAGATTTTTTTATAAGAATTTAAAGTTCAAAGTTTGACAACATTTATCAAATTTAAAATGTACAAACTTTTTTGCTGTTAAACATTTATAAAATGCTCAATAAGGATTGAAAATTTAAAACAAGGTTCCACGTAAGTACCTCATACTGTAACCAAAAAAATCTAAAAAATATATGAAAGCAATTTTTGTAAAGTTTTTAATTTCTAATTGGGGCGAAATTACATATTTAAACGAAGAATACCGATTTTAGTTTTGTGTTGTAATTTAAAAATATTATTCATGAGTACTTGAAACTACTAAAGTATTATATATGATGTATTATATATTATTATCTAAAAATATGATAATATGGAAATTGCAAATAATATTAATTCAACTTACCGGCTACCATATTAATAATAACAATATTATATTTGATATAATATAAAATATCCTTGGTTAACAAACCGTCTAGACTTAGAATCGTTTTTCGCATACACTATACAATGATATTCTATTATTGAAT